CATGACATCACATGGTATAGAATACCCCATTGGCCAGCTGGGTCAACCGCCCCGCCTGTGCTCCCCCCGCAGCTTCCCCTGCACTTGGCAGAGCATGGGAGGCCAAAAAGTCCCCGGTGCAAGCACCACCCAGCAACAACCAAAGCATCAATGGGCCGTCAACGCTCCTCTCATACCAAACCCAAAACACAGCACCCTCCAGCTACTGGGAAGAAAGTTAACTCTGTCCCAGCCGGAACCAGGACAGAGGACAAAGGCTTTCTTTTGAAAGATGAAGTTTTGTTGGATTGGAGCAAGAGGTAGAAGAATTAGAATCAAGTTCAGATTTTTTGCCTTTTCCTATTCAATCTCTTGCTTCTTCAGAGATCTAGTAATGGCTGATGACAGCAATTAAAGAGCATTAGATCAATATTTGCTGGAACCGACCTTCCTACTGGTTGGAATCAGACACCACAGTTGATGATCTGTATAAATCAACACAAACAGGCATTACAGTCCTGCCTCTCTCTCCCTACGTGCCAAAAGCTTGCTTTCAGGCCAGCGTCATTCCCTCCTCTGTGCTGGTAGAAGTCCTCATGCAGTTACATGGTGAACCAGATTGTGGAATTGATATGGACTAAAACTAACACCCTTCCTTCTCCTCCCTTGCCACTTTTGTTTTTACTAGGTTATTTCTATGACTTGGTTCACCAAGTGGCCACACAAATGCTTGTGCAGGCACAAAGAAAAGGTAGGAGCGAGCAGCTAAGAGAATCTGGAAAATTTGATGGAACATAATACGATCACAGAACTACAGATGACAGCTTCTCTACGGGCAATAAAGAGGTAAAGTAGTTTCTTTCTCAGAGATTTGCTATCATCCTTCCTCTAGCTCCTAGATTTTACACACTAAGTACATTAGAACAGAAAGAGATCAAACAACTGAGAGATAATTCCATTTCTTCTCTTTCATGTTGGCATTTGGACCTGAACTGAGAGATTATCTTGACTCTGAGATGTTACAGGTTTTGACATTGATGGTCTCTTCTCTCTCTCAAGCTGCTTTAACTCTAGGTTGCTTTTTCTGAAAAGGTCTTCTGCAGTGTGCTTTCTCTTTGCAGAAATCTTGGAACCAGCCCTTTGAAGGCTGAATCCTCAAGCAGCGCTTGAGAAGAAACTTCCTATAACTTCAACTCAAGAAAAGGAGAAAAATAAAGAAGTGAACGCCACCACAGAAACATACTGCACAAACATATCACGTATCAGAGAACACCATAATTTAAATAAGCACTCATATGGATGGTGAACAGGTTGGTGAGAACTAACACTACCCACGTAGTAGTGGGTAGCAGCTGTCAGCAATACTCACGAACTAGTAGGAATTGGCACAGTAGCCTAGATGCAAAGACAAAGGCCAGAGCCAGCACTAACCCACAGCCTACCAGTAACTCAAGACAAAAAAGTGTTCAAAACAACGCTTCTATTACTGGCACTACTCTACGTTTCAAAATTCCCCAAACACCCACGTTTTAGGTTGTAGCACGACTTCTTAGAGGACAATCTGCACGATATTCTGCAATTTAAAGGCCTCCCAGAAATAAAAGTCGATATAAACACACACACTCTCTCGTGAAAAGCACCACACCACAGAACAGATATGGTAGCGTGAAAGAACTGCAGCAGACTTTTTATCAGTTTAGAGCCACCTGTGTCAGACCGATATCGAGCATTAGTCCCGAGAGACACGAACTGTGCAGCACCCCTGTCTCATCTACCCCTTGGAGTCTTCAGTCTTTTTAAAAGTGTCTTTTCTTTCTAGACGCAAAGCTAGAGGAACAAAGACGTTTAGTCAAAGAGTAACTTGAACGCAACAAACTGTTAACCCAACTTAGCTCCCTTACAGTCGTTTTTTTCACACAGAAGCTTCCAGCTTTGACAGGCCAGCCTTACACTCAACTCTATGACA